GAGTGTCCACACCTCTATTCATCCCGTGGGTGTCGTAAGAGCCAACTAAGGGAGCAAACTACGCAGGATAACAACACTGCAAACAGAAGGAAAACTTGAAACAAGCCCTATACCGACCCGTTTGCCCAGCGTTATATAAGCTAAGAAGAGGTTAATGTTCAGCGGTGGACTATTAAAGACTGCTGACGATGAAAATGACTGATTAAATAACTAATGATTGAATAAATCAATGCACTTAACTAACTTTTAAATTATTACCACTCACTATCAGTTTCACATTCTAAATACTAATTAAGTGATATTTTTATTTTTATACATTATGTGTGGCCAGGCTATATAGAGTTATTATTATTCCCATCTACGCTTTTGTACTGAAAGAAAAGCTTTTGAAAGGAAGGACCTTAATTAACAACTTAACCTTTTTACGTGCTAAAATAATTACGACTCGGGTGTCACCTCGTCGCGAATGTTTATTACAGTCAGGGCACAGGGTACCATTTCTAATAGATGGAGACATCATGTTTTTGACTCAGAACGACTCCGTGACTTTTACTTCGTCACGTCTTTTTATAACCGTAGGTTGGGAGCACGTGTTAAAAAGACCTAATAGCCACCTCCAAAATACGTTCTTATTATTTTTATTATTTTAAGATTTTATTTTCTCATTACGAATACTATTGTGATATTAAGTAACTTTATTTTTCTTGTATTTCGTGTTAACAAGAAACGAGAAAGAGGGTCCCCAAGGTCATATTCATGTATGGACGATATTACGACGTCAATATTACGTGCTGTCTATGTTCCAACTCACAATATTTACAATCACAGAATCAGCAATACCGAAGAAAAAATGCACTGTAAACAAACGGACTTCTTGTTGTTTTATAAACGTTCTTTATAACTTAATAAACTTTATAAGCACGTGAAATCCTCCTGTACGTTTCTTTTGTTTACTGTGTTTATTTCTCCTTTGTAATGATACGAGTACTTCATTGTTTTTTCACCGGTTTTCATAATGTTCAAATTTGAAATCCCGTCAAAGATTGAACGCCCATACGCACTAGTGTTGGGCAATGAGTGACGACTACTACTACTATTGTTCACTTCAATCTAATCTACTATAAATCTCTTTGTTATTAATACTAGTAGTAATATAATTACAGGTAAAGTAATGTGATTAATACCGGTGTCAATTGTGTACAGCTTATGTAATGTTTTTTTCTATAAACTTTTGCTAATGATAATAGGGCCCAACCAACTACTAACTTTAATTTTTTTGCTAGTAGTAGGATTTATAATATTCTAAGCACTATACAGATTCAAGTGTATCATCATTATTTTGTAGTTTAATTCCCTGCAATAGCCAAAAAACGTTTTTAATTAAAACATAAACAAATAAACATCCTGCGAATTTGCAATGCTGCGATATTCACGTACGTATGACCAATTTCACCCATTTTGATCTATATCCAACGATGATGGTTTTGCCTCAATAAAAAAGCAAATTCATATTCTTTTGTCTATTGTAAGAGAATTCAACATGAATTTAACTAATACCCTTACTGTAAGGTCTACTCTCAAGTGATTTGCAAAATATAACAAATTTTATTTAGTGATTTCACTAAAGGACAACTTTTATTGTTCATAATTTGCAATATCATTATATACGTGGTAAATTAAGAATATATATACTGAAATCTTAAAAGTAATTTACATATAGGTAATAATGTAATAACATGTAATAACATATAATTTACATATAAAATCATCTAATCACAGGTAGCATAAAGGTAAGCGAAGTGGTTAAATTAAGGTATGTTGTTCTAAAAATGATTTTTAATTAATGCGAATTTAACTCGCTCTATATTGACTGATTCGTCTGAACCAGCATAATCATTTGTTTTATTTAAAATGATAATAAGTCACGTTTGATCAATCGTGTAGTCTGGATTAAGTGTACAAGTCAAGCGACGGTATGGGGGGGCAGTCGTCAGTGGTGATCCGTCTTTATGATACTGCCTTAAATGTACGAGTATTATTAATTATTTAATCTTTTTATATATTTATAAAGACCAGTGATAACTAAAGACTTGTTAGAAACCTATAAATTAATGGTAACTCAGCAACTTTACTAAAACTTCATACAAGATTCTCTTTGAGCAAGCTTGACCTATTTATTATTTTAAACAAGTCCTCTTTTTCTTTTAAATTCTTTGTAGATTCCAAGACAGTTAAGCGTTGTCCAGTACATGCCAAGCATCCCCGCGCAACCTTTTCAATGGTAATTATATTTTAAGCAATTTTTTAGAGTGCCCTGTTTTTGTGTCGGTGTCCATTTTAATTTGAATAATTTAAAGTGGTCTCAATTGGAAACTCGGCACGTGATTCTCCCTCCGTGACTAACATTTTTACGTCCCTGTTACGGGAAGCCACGTACTTGCCACCTTTAATATGTAGTTCGATTTGAGACGTTCTGGTTTTATTCCCAAAAAAGTAAAAAGTTACTTTAGTTACTTAATTCTATATTTAATAAACCTAGTCGTAAATTTGGGTTTCCTACGCTGGGAATTTTTCCTAATCAACACACAAAAGACATCGTTTAACATGCTAAGTGCTTGCTTGCAAATTATGAATCTTATTTAAAGTTCTTCCCCAGATTCCTCTTTCTTTAAGTTGCGGTGGGAGCGACGTCAAATACTCTCAACTCTGAACATATTTTTCAAATGATTAACATAATATCTGCTTCGCTTAGACTGTAACCGAACTTAATTATAAATGCTGTTGGATAAAGACACCAATCTTGTCCTTTTTAACCAATGGCATATCTAATTCTAGCTATTTCTCCGAATAAGGCACACTGCCTCTGATTGACTTTTAAAGATTTTTAAAGATTTTTTTAACTAAATACAGATCTTTAACTGTCTGTGTGTGAACTGTCAGCTACCTGGTGAGATCACGAGAATCAAAAATTTATCACAGCGAAGGTAAACAAACTTAGCTATTTATGCACAGATAATATTTATAAGGATTAAATTTTATTTATATTGTAGAGGAAGATTTATATTACTTGCGCTATTTTCAATAAAATTATTTAAAGCGGATATGACCAACCCACTTTTAATAATAAATAATACTTTTAACATCGGAACGAAGTTTTATGTTGCACTTTTACTCACAGCTTTGTAAACTTCTAACCAATAGAAAACGGTTTATTTTCTAATAAATTAAGAAAAGAAAAACATTTTTTAATTCACACACATTTTTAAAACACAATTTTAATTCCATTGTAAACTAACAGTCATTATGCCGAGTTTTAAAAGTTAGTTGTTCTATACTATGGAATAAAAAAGATCGCTTCTAAAGCAGTCTTTCTTTAGCTGAGGACTCCTATTAATGATCTAAAAATATCTAAAAGAAACAAATATCTGCTAACTATCTTTCGCTATATCTATAAGAATACATACTACTTTATTTGTTTATTTGTAAACCAGTACCTATAATATATCTAACCAAGATCTTATAAATAAATGTAATAGCAAAAACTATGCACTTTTGCATATAGTTGTGAAAGATTTTAGGCTTATTTAATCCGGCCCTGCTATAAAATCCGCTTTAATCTGACGGTACTTACAAATAATCAAGGTTTTTATATAAACTTGAGAGAGCCTTTAGACTTCCTTAATCCGGCTTTATCACTCAATTTGTTCTTAGCTAGTGTGTGCTTCGTATATACGTAACGCATACTAGCTACACTGGAACCCCTCGACAAATTAAGTCTAGTACTAGTATTTTATATCCTCTAAACCTTGCTCCAAGTTGCTCAATTCATTCTAAGCTGATGTGTTCTGCTTGTATTTCCTTCTTGCCTCTGGTGCAGTTTATCCTGGGCTCTAAATCACAAAAAAAAACGACCTTCATATTTAGAACTTCTTGATCATTCTCTGGAGCAATATCGGTTCTAACCTGATGTTTCCTCCCTATTGATCACCTCCCTGTCAAATTTAGGCTTTTGATACAAAAAACTACTGAACCAAAACCTTCCATTTAATCTTCGGCGAGCCTTTAGATCCTACTAAGCTGGCACTGTTGCAAAATTCATTTTTATCTGACGTTCATAAACCATAAACTTCTTTCCTGGTAAATTAATTCTTCATAGGTGAGGTAGTTTCCCTGATTTCATCATTAGCCCATAAATGGGTAAGCGAGTACCTAATTATTTATATAATAATATAATTATATATTTTTGTTTGAGACTCGAAGATGTCTATGTGTATCTAAAAGTTTTCTTATAAAATTTTAGTTAGTGAAATAATTAAATTGAAATACCTATTAATTATATGATTAATTTTATACCATTCAAGGTTGGCACAAATAGTATCACTGATTCTGCGAGTGTTTGGAGATACCGATAACAGCTAACCAGAATACGGGCTGCGAGCTTGTTTGAGATAAACACATTTTATTTTCATTTATATTCACTACTCAATGTTAAAAGGAAATTGCGCCTAACGTTCACTTCATAGCAGCTCTGGGTACCATTTGTCATTTTGAGTAATAAAGTCCGAACGGCTGAATCTAGTGCTACTCGTACATGCCATGCCATCACATTAGTAACCAAGTCAGGATATTGTGCAATACTGTAACTAACTGTAATAATAAAGAACAAACAAAGTGTCTCTTAGTATACGAAACTCATAACACTCTCTATAAATCCTACCAATTAATCGCAATAAATTATTAAAAACAACGAATTTCAAAAATAGCAACAGTCAGCGTAAAAGGTTCATCGATAAAATATTTCGCTCTATTCCTATACAAGGAATAGAGCGAAATATTTTATCGATGAACCTTGAACGCTGATGAACATTGTGGTTTACACAAATACCAAGAGTTATTCGGTACCTTTTATACTTTAGATGTACGTTGGCGTGTTGCAGTGATTCAAATAGACACCACGCCAACTTTCTCTCAAATTTTATTGCTAGCAAACGATATTTTCCTCAAAATGCATGTACAATATTGAAATTACCCGAGTTTGAATCCCTGCTGCCCATTACCGGCGCAATCTGTGGCCGCTCCTCATCCAGTATGAGCACGCCGCTGTTTGACCACACCGACAGCACGTGCGCCATGCAAGTCACGTTCAACCGCCCCTGTCACAACAAGCGTTAATCAACAAGCAGTAATACTCGTAACACAAAACATATTAATAATCATGAAAATTAACAGATAATTTAAAATACTTTGATGATTTTTATTTATGAATATGTATAAATTAAATTATTATATTTTTGGTGATTTTTAAACACACAGCCTGAACATAATGATACAATTGTATAGATGCATTCAAAACTGACTGTAAATACATAACCTTTGATTTCAACAGTATGATTATTGTTTCACACGAGGGTGTAAAAATCTAAAAATAATTTATAAACATAAACACTTAAAACAGTTAAGCTGACTTTAAAATAGTACTCAATATTAAAAAGTTATTGATTACATACCTAATTGATATAACTAAATAAATGTGACACTTTTAATGTAATAGGTAATTATAATACATAAATATGTCAAAAAAGGGGATGATCTTACCTCTACCTTTTTGTGACGTCAGTTAATAACAATGTAGATGTGAAAGTTTGTAAAATTAGTGCATAGATGACGTTAATATCAGTTAATAAGCAAAAGAATAATACATCAACCGAGCATAAAACTTTCTCTATTTTTGAAGTTCGTTAAAAACTATAATGTTAAAATGAGCACTCACCTTGCGAAAATGCACAGACTGTACTCGTATAACGAGTTGGCTAAACGAAGATGATTTATTGGATTTTTCTTCGTCTGAACCTATGTTCGATTTATTTGTTATTTGTTCTATTCTTGGCGCAAGGCGGGTAGTAGTTTCATGTTTCCGATTGCTATCGGCATAGGGAATGCCCGCTACGCCGCCTATATTGCCAGGAAGGTCAATTACATTGTCGGTGACAGGCTCCTCGTAGCTCGAGATTGCGTCCCATGGACTAAATATTATTCGATTAGCATCTTCCAGCGACGCGTCGCTTATCACAGGTTTTCTTCGCGCGTATGAGATGTCGTGCAGCGGAATATCCAGCCCTTTCACCTATGAATGTAATATAAGATATTAGAGTTCTTGTCACGTCGACGGCAACATGCAGATACCCTGTCATTGCCAGGCGTGCTGTAACACGGAAGGATTTACAATGCAAGAAATATATCCATAGTGAAAATGATTTAGTAAATTTAATAAAAATAAATATCTCATGGTAATAAATCAATAGTCATAATTGACAGCTTTACTATATTTGTATGACTAATTATACAATAAACAATGTTCATGTTTATTTTGAGTTTTATTGTTTGAATTGAATTTGATTTTCGAATTTATTATTTAAACTATACGCCTGCTATAATGTATTACTAAATTATACTCATTTAATTAAAAAACATTGTATTATATTTTGAACTAATACCAAAAGCACATAAAGAGCTCATTAAATCCAAACCTTATTTCTTTAGTAATTTGCATTACCTCCTGGCCATTTAGTAGCCATGTGAGATTGGCTGGCGGGTCAGCGGGCGGTGACGAACAGTTTGCGCGGAGCATGTCACCAATCGAATACCAACTTTTCTGCGCCCGAACGCTCGGTCCCATTTCGGGTAGTTCTGCAATAATCCAGACTTTCAAAAATCACGATTAAAAAAAGTTTTATTATTTTACTGTTATTTTGTTTTATTTCCTCTTAAATCTAGTCACTTATTTTTGCATTATTCTAATATAGTGCTAGAAGAACCCTGATGGTTGTGTCGGACTCGAAACCACTAGAAATCGCACGCCGTTTCGCGTCCCAGTAGCCGGGGAACCAGGTGTACCCTAAAAACCAGATCCCTGATACAACGTCAGACCACAATCCATCTAAGGCTTGTAGATAACTTCCTCGTGTATGGGAACCATGATGTTTCCATTCTACTCTCTAAAGGCAGCTCGCTCCGCAGCGCGTCGACTGCTGACACCCGAGACGTACAGCCTGACGGTCGCTAAATAAATATCTTAAAAGATATCAGATCTTTTAAGATATTTATTTTAATGATATGCAAAAGGCAGTTTTAATCTATATTAAATAAACAACTGTATTGTTTATAATAGCTTTGTTGCCCATTTTTTTTTGTAAAATGTAAGAGATAAAAATGGTTACTGTGGTTTACCATTAGGAGATACATATGCTATAGCGGCTTTTTTGTAGATCTTTTTAAAATATACAATTTCTTAATTTATTATTTTGATCTATCTCGTAAGGATTAGCCAGTGTTTGGAATGTAAACGCACAAAATAATGTTTTTCGACATCTTAATACAAATCTTGGAAATTTTCGGCTTTTCTCTACTATAATATACATGTATATCATAGATATATATACATATAAATCTATACATATACGTATAAATCTTTCCCTTGAATCACTCTCTCTATTGATGAAAACCGAATTAAAATCTGTTGCGTAGTTTGAAAGATCTAAGCATATAGGTAGCGTTATACAATTTAAAGATACTCGTACATGCATTGTACCACTACGGGGTTTGCAATATTACGAAAATTTTTACTTTGTTATTACTCATCACATTTTAAAACGAATGGCCCGATTTAAACAATCTAAAAAGTACTTAATTTGCACCTTAAAATATAGCCTTAATTATTAATTAGTTTATTTTTAAAATATACAATTTCTTAATTTATTATTTTGATCTATCTCGTAAGAATTAGCCAGTGTTTTGAATGTAAACGCACAAAATAATTTTTTTCGACATCTTAATACAAATCTTGGAAATTTTCGGCTTTTCTCTACTATAATATACATGTATATCATAGATATATATACATATAAATCTATACATATACGTATAAATCTTTCCCTTGAATCACTCTCTCTATTGATGAAAACCGAATTAAAATCTGTTGCGTAGTTTGAAAGATCTAAGCATATAGGTAGCGTTATACAATTTAAAGATACTCGTACATGCATTGTACCACTACGGGGTTTGCAATATTACGAAAATTTTTACTTTGTTATTACTCATCACATTTTAAAACGAATGGCCCGATTTAAACAATCTAAAAAGTACTTAATTTGCACCTTAAAATATAGCCTTAATTATTAATTAGTTTATTTAGATAAAAATTAACGTGATAATGATAAAATCACTTTTGTTTTAACTCATATTTTAGTTGACCAAATTCAACTAAAAGGTTATTATTTTAGATATAATTAACATCTTGGACTTTTTGTTTGCAATGACGACTATAGAAATAAAATATATTGCATTTTATTATGTATTATCAATAGGTTTTACAGCGCACGCGAAGAAAGCAAATATTGTTAGCAGTTCTTTCTTCCGGGCTTCAAACTATCATTATTTTAATAGAAAATTAATTATATTTTCAAAATAAAATGTAGCCTATGTTACTCGCTTATAATGTAGCTTCCTAAAGGTGAACTGATTGTTAAAATCGGTCCAGGAGTTTCGGAGCCTAACCATTACAAAAAATCCAACAAAAAAATCAAGTATTTCCTCTTTATAATACGTTATTATTAATATTCTCTTTATTCCATTAAATATACATATAAATTACATTATTATTATTAGTGTAATAGCTTCTCGTTTTTTTTCTACTACTATATTTATGAAGCTTTAATACAAAATTTTATGCCTCTGTCTGCAAAAGTGCAAAGTCGTATGTAAATTGACCCCCTTAGGAGTTTAAATTAACAAAATTTATTTATTTATCCCCGCGTTCATTTATTTTCAATAAGAAAAAAGTATAAGAAACTTCGACTTTGAAAATGACTAATTTTCCATATTTACTTACGATCCCTAATTTACCTCCTTATCTGTAAATTTTTGCAAAACTACGATGCACATGTCTATTTATTTGTAACCAGAATTAGGTGTATGATGTAATTTGTTCAAAAAAGACGAACCCTATTTTACCCCCTTGGGGGATGAATTTTCCAAAATCCCTACGTAGTTCACACCTACGTCACATAAGGAACAATTGTGCAAAATTTCATGTTTCTAGACCCAGCGATTCCAGCTGTACCTTGATCGATCAGTCAGTGAATCAGTCTGTCAGTTTCTTCTTTTATACTCGGTAAATAAAGCTGTGTATGCTTCCGGCTCTAACTAAAGGTTTAGATGGTTCTTCCTTTAATAAAACACTTAGAGTACCGAACATAAGGAATGGACACAAGTACCTATCCGATAAATCGGACTTAAAAGTCTGATTGAAAAGATGTTTGATAGAAATGTAAAAAACGACTAACAATAAGTAATATTACTATTTGTCCTCTCGATGTCACAAAAATAACACAAAGAAGTTTACTAAACTATGCACCGGACATTTTTTCAAACTTTTTATTGAAGCTGAAAGAGAATATTGAAGCTGGATCGAGCTAAAGTATTGCTCGGTAAAATTAATAAGAACAAGTTCTACAATATATTATTCGAACTTTTTTTGCGTTTCTTAAACTCAATTTCAACAACAATGCAGTTTTCAAATGTAACTTTTAAAGATAAGCATATATATTTTCGTATTTTATTGTCCTAGCTTCAGAAAGAAGGGGCCTTTCAAATTCTTAGATCTTTAAACACGTAGGTACACTGATCATTTCAAAATTTAATATATTGTTTGCAAAAATATTGTAAATATTCTTCTACATTTTAGCAAAATCGACCCCTAGGAAAAACACTATGATATCAGTAAAATACATTTAGAGTCAAATAATTTAAAAAGTAATGGCATTTCTTTTCTAACCTAATATTGGTTGGAGTTTTTTTTTATAAAGTAAATTATGACTTCTATCACTAAGAAGTGTTAAGCATATGCTGATACAGATACTTTTAATAATTCTTAAGTCTGACTTTTATTGATCAGATGCAACAATATTTTAAGTAAAAGTTATCTGAGACTTCAGCATAAGTCTAATTGTTTTTCTTCAGACAGAGGTTTGTGAATTTGGTTTGAATTTTTCCAGGCAATTGAAAGTTTTGTATAACTGAGTAGGTACATGAACAGTACGGTTTGAACAGCAGATTACGACCAATATGACGAATCGAATCGTAGCATTTTCTCTAACATAAATGTGTCGTTTCCATTCCTACTTTGTGCTCCCACTCTGATCAACAGTTACATTTTATTCTTGTCAGTGGGGGTTTTAGTGTTTATCGGTTTATCTGCTATTTTTTTTACTTGACTTTAAATCTTCTTTTTTGAAATATAACCTAAAACAGGTTATTTTGCCTCTACATTGACAATTAACAATCTATCCATCCAATGTTCTGTAAAAGATTCTTCAAAGAATACATAATTTCTACAAAGAAACACACAATCTTGAGTTTTTAATTCGTTGTTGTGGTAGCCACTAAATCTCATTACTCGCTCCGGTAAATTTTGATTACGTTAATTAATATTCTCGAACATGCTGAACTATGAAAGAATAAGGTTAAGTAATTCCAAAAATACACAAAGAATAATATACTGAACTTATTTATAACCAATCTTAAGTGGCAAAAATTATCACATTACACTTAATATAGATACTACTCGTAGTTATTTTCGTTTATGTATTTCACGACAATGTAAGGAAATCGACCGTTTTTGATTATGTCATATCGGTAGTTGTTGATATACTCGTATACAATATTATCAAATAAATAATTATATCAAGGCTAAATTTTGTCTTACCGTCATAACTGACGTTTTGTTGCAGTTTGTTATGATTTTGACCATATAAAAGTATTTTGATTATGATATATTTTATCTTAAACAAGTATTTAGATAGATCGATACACTTCATAGCACATCAAAAAAGTATAATCTAGAAATATACTAAGAAAGAGTATAATAGGCGGATATCGCAGTCTGCGATCTTTTGTAGATAAATCGGATGGCCTTAGGTGAGTCACGTATGTAGGAGATAAGTAATAATCTTCAAGGAGTTCCTGAAATACAGTGGATGTACTTCTCGTATATAACCTCCTTAACTCACTATAACTTAAAACATGTTTTTTCTTTAAACTTTAATGAAATAATTCAATTTTGTTCATTTTACCTCGTCTAAATTGATAAAATCTCTAACATAGGTATATAAGTAGCATATGCATATCAAACTTACATATACATTAATCATGGCAGATTAAATGCATCTATCGTGACTAACTCGCATTCCACCGTCATTGAATGTATGTATTGTGTAGTGAGAATCCTCGTGATACCTAATCTCAAGAGTATCTTCTCTTGAAAATAATAATTTTATATTTTTATTGCAGTAATTTTCGAGTCCGTTTCAAATATATTAAACCTATATGTTCTAGATTAGTGAATTAATTATTTATTATTGTTTTTTAATAAAAATACAAGCAAAATGAAACTAGATTTTATTCTTGGCTGGAATGGCGTAAAGACTGAAATTAAAACTAAGTTTTCTAGGAAATAATGTGACCGTGTACTTAATATTGTTACCCTTAACAAATTTTAATAATTAAATGTAACATAAATTCAATGTGAAAATGAAAGAAAACATCACAGTGAGAGATCCTGATGTGTTTACTTACGAGATTTAGAGCAGAACGAGTACAATAGCTTAGATGCAGTTGTTCCCTCTAGTTGC